TAAAGTGAGAACATTCATTCTGGTTGTAACACACAAAATGTGATTATAACAGACACTTTGGGGGCTTTTTAAGGCTAGCAGAGAAGAGGAGGATAAGCTGGAGGGGAAGAAAGAATTGACAAGTAGAGAAATGACAGAGAAAGAGAAACAGCCACGCTGATTTCATTTCTTACAAAACAAAAATCTTTGTGTGTTGTAGAAATGTGCTTTAGTTAACACCAGCAGATAGCCAGAGCAAAAGCTGCCGGTGCTGCCTGAAACGAAAATTGCTCTATTGTGCTTAGAAAACCATTTCCCACAGCGAGAGGAACCCTTTCCAGGTAGTACAAAGCAGACCTGAAACCAAGGGGGCCTTATCCTGCAACTGTTGCTCCCTCAAATAATCCCTGGAGCCACCAGAAGCCCCAGCTAAACCAGTGTGAGTGAGGATTATGCGGGAGTGTATCAAGGTTGGGGGATTAGACCAGGATTATCACTAAAACCAGTAATTCCCCATCTTACTGATGGTGGCCATCAGCTCGGGAGGGGCAGCTGGCCACGGCTCTGGGAGCTGGTGGCCGTGTGGGTTCCCAGGGGACTCAGGTCCTGCTGGATCAGAGGCTGCTCCACCTTGACCTTCTTCTTCAGAGGGCCCCACCAAAGCAGCACCAGAGCAGGACCAGGCCCGATCCACGCTCTGCTGACAGCGTAACATCAGTGCTGCCACTCCCCTTCCAACACTGCCACCATGGAGCCACCCCAGAGCCCAGAGTCAGCCGAGAACTCCAGGCTAATTCCACCCTGGGACATCCAGCCTCTCAAGGAGGGCTGTCCTGCTCCCGTGTCACACCTCCTCTGGAATGCCTGCCCTGGGCTGGCCACCACGGTGTCCCCAGGCGAGATCTGGGGACAGAGCGAGCTGCTGTCCCCAGGGTGATTCCCGTCCTGGAGCAGCAAACAAACGTCATCTCCCAAAGCAGTGCAAATCTGGGACATAAAACTGCCTCTGAAACACAGATACAGCCATCACACACATACTGTTCACCTTGTAAACCAACAAGTCAAAATCCAGGCATGGAAGTGTTACCCAAGGGTGGCTGCTCTACATGCAAGTCCTGTCCCTTGGATCCTAAAAGGCTGGGCATTCAGACCAGTTTCCACACCACCCCAATGCAACACGCATTTTTATCAAGGAAGCTGCCTAATGGCTCCTATTAATTTTGATTTTTAATCTCCTGGTACAACTCCCAGCAATATACATGCAAAACCTGACAAGCCCTTTTGGTTTCAAAGCTGACTTCTCCTCCAGCTCAGAAGGAAGATAAAAAAGAGTTCTGGGCAGCAGTAAAGCCTCTGAGCAGCAATGCCCTTGCAGCTCCAACGTGTCCCACTCTCCCTGCTGCAAAACAAGCCCAAACACTAACGGGGGCTGAGCCTCCCGCTGTCAGCCACGATCACCAGAGCTGCTCACAAACGCTTTGTGCCATCACTGCCTGCAGCCTCACGCCCAGAGCCTGTGGGCAGGCATCCCTGAGAGGCACCAGGGCACCCACGGGAGCACTGCAGGGTCACAACAGCCCAGGACATCACTGCAGGGTCACAACAGCCCAGGACATCACTGCAGGGTCACAGCAACAGCCCAGGACATCACTGCAGGGTCACAGCAACAGCCCAGGACATCACTGCAGGGTCACAACATCATCCAGGACATCACTGCAGGGTCACAGCATCATCCAGGACATCACTGCAGGGTCACAGCATCATCCAGGACATCACTGCAGGGTCACAACAGCCCAGGACATCACTGCAGGGTCACAACAGCCCAGGACATCACTGCAGGGTCACAGCAACAGCCCAGGACATCACTGCAGGGTCACAGCAACAGCCCAGGACATCACTGCAGGGTCACAACATCATCCAGGACATCACTGCAGGGTCACAGCATCATCCAGGACATCACTGCAGGGTCACAGCATCATCCAGGACATCACTGCAGGGTCACAACAGCCCAGGACATCACTGCAGGGTCACAACAGCCCAGGACATCACTGCAGGGTCACAGCAACAGCCCAGGACATCACTGCAGGGTCACAGCAACAGCCCAGGACATCACTGCAGGGTCACAACATCATCCAGGACATCACTGCAGGGTCACAGCATCATCCAGGACATCACTGCAGGGTCACAGCATCATCCAGGACATCACTGCAGGGTCACAACAGCCCAGGACATCACTGCAGGGTCACAGCATCATCCAGGACATCACTGCAGGGTCACAACAGCCCAGGACATCACTGCAGGGTCACAACAGCCCAGGACATCCCCACCGTTTCCCCAGGCTCTCTTGGCAGCCGTACCCTGGCACAAGCAGAGCTGACAGCCAAGCCCAGCCCCACCCAAAGGGAAAAGCTTTACAAGGGTGGTCTCAAACTTCTTTTGCACCCTCAGAGCAGGGCTGCAGCCCCCACAGACACCACCCTTTAATCCTTTCCAGGTCACCAGGGAAAGATGAGATGCACCAACAAACTCAATTATTCCCAGCCCCGAGACCTGCCACCGCATTAGAAGAAACATTTCCTGAAGCTCCACAAACAAGTCATCCTTGGGGACTTTTATTTCAAGGCTCCTGACTGTTAAAGTAAATGAGGCTCACGTTAAAGACCAGCTACATCACAAACCCTCTGCTGCTGGGGCAGCCTGTGTCTGTCTGCAGAGGCAATCGCTTACCCCCAGCCACAGCCATCACATGCCAAGTGACACTGCCAGAGACGTGTTTACCTCGTATTTTAGCTGCTACCAACCCATGCTTTGCCTTCCCATCAGGAAAAGTCACTCCTGGGTGGAGCAGCAATGATATCTCCCCGATGCTGACACCTCATAAAGCCTCCCAGGGGAAACAACGCGGCTTCATCGCTGGAAGCAATTCAAACCAGCCCAGACAAAGTAGCACTGGAAGCACTGTAGGGAATGGTTTGGCTCTGTAAACTCTGGGCAGGGACTGTTTATGAAATCCTCAGCACCCAGGGCTGTGCCAGTAGCACCCTGCACAGCCACAGCATCACTCCACAGCGCCTGCTCCAGCAGTGACCGGCTGCAGGGACTCAGGGCTGCCGTGATCCTCCCAGGAAACAACTTTTGTGGAGTTCCTGCGTCACCCTGTGTGCCAGGACAGGGCTGTCACTCCAGCACCAATGAACAGACTCACCCACAGGGGGCATAGGGATCTTTAGATGCCAACAGAACCCACACCACCAGCAAGACAGCTTCACCTGCAACAGCTGGAAGCCTAACACTGGGGTTCTGCAAGAAACATCGACATTTCCACCCTGAACTAAACTTCAAACAGCTTTCAGTTGGGATTCCTCCACACCATACCCTGATCCTGCCCTTTTGCCCAAAAGCACCTCCGGAGAGCGAGCAGATCCCACCAGGACGTGTTTCCCTCGCACGTCCCTTGTGGGACTGGTGAGCTGCCCGGGGAAAACGTGCCACTGCCGCTTGGCCACTCGTTACAACACACAAACTGCTTTCTCCAGGCAAGCTAGCAGCTCCTCACAGTGCATCTCACCTGCACAAGGGATAGGAAAACGGGGCGAGCTGGAGCCACGGGAACAAGCATCCCACCTTCCTCACAGGAGGGTGAACAAGGCAGGGAAATCTCTGGAGGGCACATTGCATGAGACCCCAGCCCAGCTGCTGTACCAAAGAGAAGCACAGGCAGCACTGCCTTGTGCATGCAGCTGCCTGCTACCAGCTGAGTTATGATGCTCCTGATGGTCCCTCCATCCTCCCTGGCACCTGAGACCTCCCAGTGCCAGCATGCACTTCTGGATAGTGCCAGCATGTGATGGATTTTGTGACTGGTGGCGGTGAATCACAGGCTGACAGGATGCTCCACTGCTCCAGTGCCCATAGATGTACCAGCCAGAGATGCACTCCAGAATCCTCTCCAAAAGACCACTCCAGGAAGACAGCAATTCCCCAGGGACCAGCATGCCAACAGCAATGGTCACTGGGTTGGGCCAACACTGGTACACAACCTCTCAGAGCTGCTTCTGCTTCGGTGGAAGTCAAACACCAGGGTTCAGTAAGCACTCTGCCAATACCACCACAGCAGGACCAGGCCCCCGGCAGCAGCCCTGCAGAGGGCCAGGCTCAATTCTCTGCAGGACCAGGATGAATCTGAAGCAGCTCCACTGCCTTCAGCAGCAGCATTTTGCATTTACACCACCACCCTGAACACAAAACAGAGTGAGCCATAAATATTTCAGCTGCTTTTTCAGCTTTGTTATTCTGTTCAAAGCATGAAACATGACAAACCTTTGATTGTTTTGCTTAAAACCAAACAATAATTCAAAGAGAGACAAACAAGCAACGTTAAATGATGCCTGTGATGTACAGGAAAGCCAAAGAATTAGAAGAAACTGATGAGGATGGTGTGGATCAGAGCAGTCCCTTTCCCTGCCTTCGGCAGGTACCACACATCCCTCCCATGCCAGCCAGGGTCCTGCACAGTGAAGGGACAGCACTGTGCCAGGTGTGCAGCAGGTCACAACGGGGCATCCTGCACTGTCTGCACCCCCAGCACAGCCAGCTGCCTCCAGAGGAGCAGCCACCAACATCCCTTTCAACAGCCTTTGAAAAAAACTTCTGTGAAGGCAAGTGTCTCCTCCTTGAGCATGGCCACAGTCAGAGCACACCTGCAAAGCAGCCACCTCCAGCCTCCTGGGCGTGTGGAGACAGCCTGGCCTGGCCCATTCCCACCTGGCCACTTCCGAGGGTCTCTGCAGTGCCTGGGGGTGACACATCCACCCACGGCCACGCATCAGGGCTGCCCCAGAACCCACAGGCGAGCACCGGCTGCTCCCCCTGCCCATCCTCCATCCCTGCCTCCCCCTGGGGTGTCAGACACCCAGAAACCTCCCAAGTGTGCTCTGTCCAGCAGCCAGAGGCCAGCAGAGCCAGCGTGCTCAGTGCCAGCACCGCCAGAGCCGCGGTGCTCGGCTCCTGCCCGCGCTCACCTCGGGCAGCGGCATGCCGTTGATGATGAGGTCGGGCTGCTGGGGGCTCTGCCCCGTGAAGGTGTGGTGGTAGATGTGGTTGGAGCCGGCGTTCCTGTTGTTCTGGCTCTCCACGTTGAGGAAGGTGCTCTCGGAGCGGCGGCAGCCCAGCGGCAGGGTCTGCTGGTGGTAGTCGAAGTAGTTGAGGGAGGAAGTGAGAGAGGAGCAGCTCACAACGTTCATTTTATCCGTCTCCTCCACGTCCCGCGGTACCAGGCGGATGTCATTCTTGCTGATTTTCTTCTTCTTGCTCGATTTCTTCTGATGCCCGTAGGAGTACTCCGCGATTCTGGGGGACAGAGGGAAAATGAGAAGCTGAGAGCATCCTAAACCCTGCCCCGCTAAAAACAGACGCAGAAACCCAGAGGGCTTGGCCCCCATCTCCATGTAGGCTTCTTAGTCATGCACGTTACGTCACGGTTTGGGTCTGGTGGCACGACACTGTCTTTAGCTTATTCTCATATGCAAAATGTTTTCGGGTCAAATATGTAAAAAAAAATGGCAAGGAAGAATGCTTCTGTTTTGATCTGGTGTAGGTAATTGCTGATATTTAGTTAGTAGAAGTAAACTCCGGTCTGCAGAAGAGTAAAATGGAGATGTTAAAATCCATGAACTGAAAAGGGGACCTGCATTCATTTCCATGCCTAATAAGGATTTTAAAAGTGATTTAATTTGGTCTCCATAAAGAAAATTCAAAACGAATACCAGGTTTTTTTTCCCCAGTTCATTTTCCATAGCAGTAAATAAAGCAGCCCCAGAAGCAGTCCTAGCTGGCAAGCTCAATACTCTCACACTCCAAAGGCTGTTTGTTTATTAATGCTTTATCTAAATTGCTGGTGTTTTGACTGTCTCCTGATCATACCTGATCTCTTCTCCAATTCAATTCCATTCCTCCCTCGCCCTGACACGCACATCCCCTTCTGCCGGGAAATGCTTTCACCTTCTAGAAATCAGAGAACAACAACCGTGTGTTTTGCAAAGAAAAATGATCCTTTTTGACCTTTTTATTTTACTGCAAGCTTGTTTTTCTCTGCCTTTCCTTCCCTCTTTGCTTCCCACCTGCCAAAAGAATCAATTGATGAAGCGCCCTGCTTGCCTTCTGCAAAACACCAGAGGAAAAAAGTTACTGCAAAACACCACCCAAGCAAATAACAACAAATTATCTGCACCTTGCATTAGTTGGGTCTGCTCAGCTCAGAGTGACTGTAGCTCATCTTCCCACACTGAGCACCACAAGAGTCCCTGCCACGAATCTGTACATGCACAGCACTGGGCAACTCAGTGTTTCCCAGGGAAGCACATCAAATGCTATGCACAGTCAGAAATACACATTTGAAAGTCAGGATTTTGCTCCTCTTCTTGTTATGTTAACAGCATAAAAAAAAAAAATAAAATCCAATAGCTGTGGCAGAAATAATGGGATGAATAAATAATACAGTTTATCTGGAAAGGCAAATCTTGGACAAATATTCTTGTTCCAGAAAGCTAATCGCCTGAGCAGGAAAACGCCACGAAGTCCAACAGCCCTCATATGTGCCTCATAAATTAACACGTTTTTTTGAAGACTCTCCAGCAGCTCTTGTGAGGAATCTCTAAAACAAGGCACTGCAAAGCCTGCAGGCGTGGGGAGAGGGTGCCCCATGGTCACTGCTGCTGCTGAGCCTGCCTGGTGCTTCCCCACCTCTGCAGCTGACTCCTGCTCAGACACACACTGATAACAGCCCCAGCACCCCCCTGAGCGTGCAAATAAATCACAGGAAGGCAGGCATCTCTGTTGTGCCAACAATCTATATGCTGCTGACTCGTCTAACAACGCTTGATGAAGCTTTAATTGTTTTGTTTACCTAAATGTTTAAGTTTGGCAATGCGAGAGCCCAATTATTTCCTGCAGGCATTCATTTTGCTGTCCTTTCTCTATTGACCAATTATTTAATTAAAGCGCACTTCATTAATCCCTAAGCCGTCACAGTAAACCCAGGGCTTATACGTATGTGAGAAGCTGTTAGGGGCACCACCACAACATGATTTTTATCCATTCAGGTCCTATCCTCCTTTAATGGGCCGAGCTGGCAAGAAATCTGGTCTGTGAGCTTTCACTTGAAGCTAGACATCCCATAATACAGCACAGACCGACCTTTATTTGCAGATGATTTTTCCCCCATCGAGCAAAAAGGCTTATATACGCACTTTCCGCTGTGAAAACGGGGTACAATGCCTCGACTCTCCGGCATTATTTCTGCGTAAATAAAACTTTAAAGCCCGCACATCCCCCCGCGCCGCTGAATTGCCAGGGGCGAGCGTGCGTTTCCAAGGTAGAGCAAAATTAATTTCCATCCCTCCTCTCTGAAACGACTCGGTGCCGAAGGAATGGAGAAGTCATGGCTATTTCACTAGTAACAGGATTAAACCATTTATGAGGCATTGCAGCTGCTCTTTTATGGCATCTGATTGATATTCATGTGTGGTTAGCATTTGTCTCCTAACTTGTGTAACACAGAGAATAGTAAAAGAGAGACAATAATCGCCGGGCTGTTACATATTCAGGGGACTGGATTTCCCCTATCAGCCTTTCAGCCGCTCCAGGCGCGGGGCTGACCTCCCCTCCGGCATTTCGGAGCCCGGAGCACTCATCCAGCCAGGGCAAAACGGCACGGAGCTGCAGAAACCCTCCCCGGCAGCATCCCTGGCAGCCCGGGCAGCTCTGCCTGGCTCCGGAGCTGCGCTGGGGGGCGGCCGGGGGGGCTCTGCCGCCGCTCTCCGCGCTGGCCCCGCGGCCGGCCGTGCCGAGGAGCCGCAGCGGGCACACAATAGCTCCTTTGAACGGCCAGCCGGCCTCAGGGATGCTCGCACCGGCTGCTGCGGGGATGCTGCGGTGCTCTCCCCCCCTCGCCAGCCCGGGGAGCTGTGCCGGGGACGGGGGGCTGCCCACGGGCACCAGCCGTGCCCCTGTTAAAGCCTTCTCCTCCGCGTTTTGTGATGGAGCACGGAAAATCGGGGATGCTGCAACAGATTGTCGAGCCGCACAATTAAGTCGATTCGTTAGTCCGCTCTCCTCGCGGAGAACAATTTCTTAAAGCTTAGCAAGAAATTTTCTTACGGGGACAGGAACCTCACTTTTGTTCCTAAGGCAAATCCATCCACCCCTCTTCACCACCCCCAAACGCAAAAGTAACTGCGATGGCAAAAATCAAAGCAGCCCTGCAGGTGCACGTAAACAAAGGTATCTTTACCTGCAGTTGTAGGTCCTGATTTCCTTGTTATCCCTTTTGCACTTGACTGCCACAAAGATCATGGTGACAAAAAGAATGGCTGCAATAGACCCCAGGGCAATAATGAAAATCAAGGAGAGGTTAACAGATCCTATGGACTCCTGGGCATCCAGGGCAGGAGACAGGTATATCAAAATCAAGGCAGAAGCAGAGAGAGATGTTTTCCCATGGTCATGAGCCACCACGATGAGCTCATAGGCTGTTTTGGCATTTTCCCCAAAGGCTCTGGTGGTCCTAATCTCTCCATTCACCTGGTCGATCTCAAAAAATCCTCTGTCTCCTTCCACCATTTCATAGGAAAGTCTGCCATTTTCACCCTCATCATAGTCATCTGCCTTGACCACTGTCACCAAGTAGCCAACCCCCGCGTTCCTGGGGATGTACACCTCCGCCGTCCCGTTGACCAGCGGCGGGGCCGTGATCACGGGCGTGTTGTCATTCACATCCAGGACAATCACCCTGACAGTGGCATTGCTCTGAAGAGAGGGATTACCCCCATCTTTCGCCAAGACCTTGAACTCAAAGGCCTTGGTCTGTTCATGATTGAAGGACCTCAAAGCATAGATATCTCCAGAGTTGGGGTTGATGGAGACATAGGTGAAAACAGGCATGTCCCTGACTTGGGAGGGCACGATCTGGTAGGACACGCTGCCATTGAGGCCCAGGTCGGGGTCTCTGGCCGAGACAGACAGGAGGTAGGCCCCCGGGGTGTTGTTCTCCTGCACGATGACTTGGTAATAGGGCTTGGAGAAGTGGGGATGGTTGTCATTCTCATCGGTGATCTTGACAGTGAAGGATTTGGTGGCCTGCAGGGAAGGGATGCCATTATCCCTAGCCTGGATGGTGAGGTTGTACTGGTCCCTCTGCTCCCGGTCCAGCCGCCCATCCACCAGGATGGTGGAGAAGCTCTCGTACTCCTGGAGTCGAAAAGGCACATTGCCCAGGAGCTTGCACTGCACCCGCCCGTTGGCCCCGGAGTCGCGATCCGAGACGCGCACCAGGGCGATGACGTACCCCGGCGGGGCGTTCTCGCTCACCTCCACCAGCTCACTGTTGACAGAGAGCAGGTTGATGAGGGGCGGGTTGTCGTTGGCATCCTGGACACTGATGGTCACTTTGCAATGAGCAGGGATGGAGTTAGGCCCCAAGTCCTTGGCCTGCACGTCCAGCTCGTAGACGTGACCCTCCTCATAGTCAATGGCACCGCTCACCGTGATGAGGCCACTCTGGGGGTCGATCTGGAAGAGCTCCCGAGCCCGCTCAGAGACGTAGCTGTGGAAAGAGTAGAGGACCTGGCCGTTGGTGCCCTCGTCCGGGTCAGAGGCATTGAGGCGGATGACTGGCGTCCCCGGTGGGGCGTTTTCAGGCACGCTGACGGTGTAGGCTGGCTCCTCGAAGAGCGGGTTGTTGTCATTGGAGTCGATGACGCGGATGCTGAGCTCCACTGTGCCAAAGTTGGGTGGGTCGCCACCATCCAGCGCCGTGATCACGTAGCTGTAGTGGGACTGGGTCTCACGGTCCAGGCTCTTCTCCACCACCAGCTCAGCAAAACGGGACCCATCACCCCGCGTCTTGGTCTCCAGCCCAAAGAGGTCATTGGGGGTGATCTCATAGCTCTGCACACCAAAGCTGCCCGAGTCCGGGTCATAGGCACTCTCCAGCGGCACCCGGGTGCCAGGGCTGGCCGTTTCCGAGATCTCCAGCTCGATTTGGTCGGTGGGGAAGCTGGGCGCATTGTCGTTTAGGTCCTTGATCTCCAGCTTGATCACGCAGATCTCCATGGAGCTGGACATCACCTCCAGCGAGATGACACACTTGGGGCTCTGTCGGCACAGCAGGTCCCTGTCGATCTTCTGCTTGGTCACCAGCAGCCCGGACCCGGGGCTGATGTCCACCAAGTGGGGGGCCGAGTTGGAGACCACCCGGAAGGCGGCGGGCTGCCGAGGGTCCAGCACGAAACCGGCGTCCCGGGCGTCCTTGGCGACGTTGGCGATCACCGTGCCGGCCCGCTGCTCCTCCTCCACCGAGTACTTGAGGTTGACGAGGGCCCCGGCGCCGGCCCACAGCAAGGCGGCCCCCAGCAGCGCCGGGAGAGCCCCCATGGCCGCGCCCTCCGCCCGCCGCGCCGCGCCCCGACGGCCGCGCGCCTCAGGGGCCCGCCGCGCTCATGCGGACAGCGCCCGCCGGGCTGCCCCGGCGGAGGGCGGGCGGGCGGCTGCGGGCACCGGAGCCGCGGTCCCCCGCGCACACGCCAACGCCGTCCGCTCAAGCGCTCCGTGCCGGCGGCGCCGCGGAAGGGCCGGGCATGGCGAGCGGGTGCGGGAGCAGAAGCGGGCTGCTGAGCCGAGCGGTACGGAAGCGAGAAGCGAGGAGCCGAGCCGTGCCGAGCCCGCTGCCGCCGGCGCTCGCTGCGGCGG